CACATAGAAGAGGAATTCTATTCGAGTGAAAATACGAACTAAAGTACCTAGTGATAATTATTAGAATTATAGTGTTCTCCCACAATCCTTTAGGAATACTGGACTCAACTAGATTCAATACCAAGAATTCATATATTCATTTTTGTAAGTACTATAGATGATGCTGCTATTTACTTATAACTTTTTATATTCTTAATGAATTACATATTCAAAAGACAACATTATCTTATTTTAAACTTTTATATAAAAGATGATTCCTAAGAGATGATTAGTCCTATAAGTCGGATTAACAATGAATAGTAGTGACTATGTGTTGCACTAAAGAGAGATGTACACTTAATGTATTCTAAGATAATTCAGCATATATCTATAGAGATTAAATGAAATCTGACAAGGAATGAAGCATTCGAGTTAAGTAACTATTAGTAACGAATGCTGGTATCAATAAGAGGAAACATTCAAAATTTCCTAAAAATCGATATGAGCTCAAGCTGCTTAATATGATTTGGATCTTTCGATATTATCCAAAAGAGAGTTTTTATTAGAATACTTATTTTGTTGTCTCTCTCAAATTTATTAGAAGGTGACATTTTAGTATGTGTTTACTGACAAATATTTATATCATCTAATAAACTAGAGGATAGTGAACGATGTGACCGAGACATATACATATCTGTTAAATAGTATAAAAATCATACCTTTGACTAATCAAAGTTTGACAGAGAACAGTCTTTCAAGTCGCGTAGTGAGGATCGAAGAACAGTTGTGTTCAACAATATCTCCAATAATCAACAAAGAGAAAGTAGAACAGAGTGACGCTAATCGTATATTCTTCAGCTCATTGTAAGTCATATTTTATCGAAGATGTTTACATTTAAGACATCTTTCGACTACATAATTCTAACAGGACTTTATGATCATTACATTTATGAAATCTGAGAAAATATTTAAGCTTACTTACCAAAAATGGTTTTTCAATACAAATAATAATAATAATAGTTGTTTTGACTTTGAGTTTGTAAAATCAGAGTTTTTTTCTAAAAATGAACAAGTAAATAAAGTAAAACAATGTTGATAAGTATGCATTTCCTAACAGAGACTATTGCCAAAAAAGAGAGACCCAGTGCATTTTTCTTAGAAGTTTCTTCTCATGTTTATAACTTGATGTAAACATGCGTCTTTCTTTCATACTCATGGATAAAGGGCAAGTTGATATGAATGACGTTTGATTTTCTTTTGACGGCTATCTGTATCATAATGTAAAAGGTAAGAAAAGAGAAAAAATCATTCTTTTTTTTATCTTTTTTTCTTCATATATTAGTCAACGTGAGCTTCGACGACACTATAATGGTAAACACATTTTTTCGTTTTGTACATATTCTTTGATAGAACGCATGCTTTATGTTTTGTTTTTACCAACGCACATGTAAACCTCTTTTTTTCTGATAACATCGAAAGAAACGAGTTTGCGTTGATAAGACTGAACGAACATCGAATTATCTCCATTCATATTGATCTATTTCTGAATTCTTTACTGTACATTTAGATTTCTCATATATGGTTTTATGATCAATAAAATTGAGAGCAATTTGTTTGAAGATGTTTTTTTAAACTTTCATATTAGCTGATGATTATGGAAAGGCTATCATTTAAGTGGTTGTTTATTAAAATAGTTAGGTTTATCAATATATTTAAAAACCAGTAAATTAAATTAAATGATAAGCATAAAGATTGATATGTGTGATAGTGTGATTTACTTCTTTTTTCTTTCCTTTCGTTACGTTGTATAAATGATCAGCATAATATGTATATAATTTTTTTTTTCTTTTTTTTTCGTATTAGGGTATTCTTCAAACGTTTTTTCTCTTGTTATGCTTCAGGTATTTTCATTTATGATATTTTCTTCAAAATATCGCTGATTCTTTCCTATGTTGCTCATATATATTATTGTCTTTTGAGAAATAAATGATATGATTTGTTTTCCATCCGCTTGAACAATCTTCCGCTAATATCGTTTCTGTACATCTAACTTAGTGTCAACGAATGAACAAGATAGACGTGGTACAACGTACTTAATATGAAATTGAGAATAAAAAATAGACACCTACGGTACTTTGAAATATTGCAACACTATTACCAACAGGAAAAATTAGTACCGATCAGTGAGAAAAGAAAACGAGGTTAAACAGCAAAAGCTAAACCTGCTGTGCTAGTACAATATATAAATTCTCATTTTCGGTTTTTGTTATTCATTCTTTGAATTACTATTTTGGGTTTTCTTTTATTCTGTTTTTTTTAATTTAACTCAAATTTATTTTGTACTAAATTTATCTTTATATAAATATAATTTATTTATTCTGCTGATAAATTTGAATTTTTCACTGATATTCATATATAAAAAGCTGATCATTTTAGTACTTATTACATCAATATTTTCACTGCTCATTTGTATATTTTTTACTGACCAAAAATTATATTCCCTTATGTAAATATTTTATAAAGTGTGACTGAATCGATAAAATTGGTTAGATATATATATCGAAAATGATTCGTTTGATACATAATAAGAATGTACAACTGTGAAGTGAGTCTTTTTCTTCACGTTTCACACAATAGGATAAAAACCAGATAAATAAATCCATCTCGTTTTATTGAATTGTTATGTTCCATTAAAACTAGAAATGCTAGAAGTTTGTCTTCAAAAAAGAAAAGTATAAATACATCTGAAAAATCGTTTTTGTATACCTTTAGACATGTTGACATCTAAATATACTCTTTTTTTCCATTTTATAATATGTCATGTAGAGTTCTCTAACTCTCTATATCAAAACTCTTTGATATTACGCATTGATGTATCTTGACAAACAGTATGACTAGTAAAATTTCTATTGTAATTTCAATGAGACAAGCACATATGATAGCAGAGTTCAAACGTGACACTTTAATCAACATAATATAATGCTATAAAATATACAAGGACTAATGTTCCTCATTTTATGAATATACGTATATTCTGAATAATTCTTAGACATGATAAATTATGATTTTTTAAGGATTTAGGAATAATATCGATTATATTATGAACTGATTTTTAAATAAAATAATTATTCGTTTGATTTGATTATTGTTAATTTGTAGAATACTCTATCAGTTGTACCGAAATGACAATAGATTAGAAGCCGACTGAAGTTAAACTAATGAAACCTAAGAAAGAGACGAGAAAAAAGTCTCAGATCAAATATGTAATATCAAAAACATATTAACAATAAATGTAATATCAATAAAAGACTTCAATTTCAGATTATTTTATCACAAGGATAAAACACAAAAAGAAAAATTTACATTTGTTACGTGTATACTATTACGAAAAATTCTTATTAAGAATTACTCCACATTCTTTAACATCACCAATAAATTGTTTCATCGATGGCTGTCTCCATTCACCGAATGTTTGAAAATCATCAAATGATCTCTCGTTATCATGTTCTATATACCATAGAGGAGCATATGAAGAAAATTTAGTAATATTATTCATAATTGATATCCAGTGAAATTTTGATGTAAAAATTCCAAATTTCATACCTAAATTACTGATTTGTACGATTAATTCTTCGATAAATTGTATATTTATATCTGTACTATTATTATTATTCCATTTTCCTTCAATATTTAACCAAAGCCTATCTATTTCAACATTTTCATCTTTTAAATAATCGATTGTTTCAATAACCTAAAGAAAAAATTTAGATATTTATTATATTTTTTTTTATTATCTCACTTGTTGAGAAGCATCACCACATGAAAAACATGGTAAGAAATACGCTTCAATTTGTTTTAAACCAACAGCACGAGCATTTTTTATCGTTTCAGCACAATTCGAATCTACAATTCCATTTTTTCGATAAACACGAACAATAATAAATTTATATCCACTATCTATTTCATCAATTATTATACGAATTTTTACTCTTCAAAACTAACCTTTTAAACATTCAAATTGTATTTGTGAAACTTTTTGAGATACATCCACACCAATCGTTGCTAATATTATTGGAACTGACGATATCAAAAAAATTTGCATAAACATTAAATTTATTTCGTTCAGTTGTTGGTGTTGATACAACGAAATAGTAGTGCTTCGTTTTTTTCTTTTTTTGCTTTGACGATTACTTTTCTCTGTTCTGCTTTTTATATTTGCATATATATACAGAACGTGTGACAACGCTTAAGAAACTATATACAATTACGAAAGAAGCTGCGTTTACATTAAAATTTACTGACATATAACCTTCATTTATTATTCAATCGTTACATTATTTTTTGTTTACTGAAGAACGAGTTAACTACAAAACTTCTAAGGCATCTTGCAAGTTTTTTTTCTAAATAAAAGAAACAAATCATTATTCTAGATGAATGATTAGAAAATACCGAATGTTAAGTTAAAAAAAACAAAGAAAATATCTGATATTTATATAAACAATTAATTTCTCGTTTTTTATTGTTACATTTGAATTGAAAATATAGAAATATCTTTTCATGTCAATAATTTATATATAAATCATAGACAGACCAAGGTTAACTTAGGCAAACTTGAAAATAATTTTTTTTTCTTATAGGCTTCATTACTACTTAAATAACCACTAGTGCAAACGTCATAATAACATTCTTTTCATTCAATGAAATAAAATACAATAAAATGACGATATGAAATATTAAATAGGAGAATCGGTTACAGTTATAAACTATATCGAAAATATGCGATCATTTATATTATTGAATCATTTGATTTTGCTTTTTATTTTTCTATAAATTCAGAGGAAGTCTTAGTCAATGAATCTCTGCTAAAAATAATGATTTACTTCACTCAATAACAAGCTCATTCAAGATAAATTTTACCACTAATAATTGATTTGAAGCTAATTAACATACTATACATCCGTTTGTCTTCGCAAATTTTAATGTCTGATCATCCACACCCTTCTATGTAAAAATCAACCTAGATGATTGAACTTGTAGAACAGTTCGAAAAAAATATCAGCCGCCTTCTTCTTTATTCAATGACGTTTAATTACTATTCAACTGTTAAAAAATATCTTGATCAAAATAGAATTGATTATTCTTTACCTGAATATATTCAACGAGGATGGGATCGTATATATACACTCGAAGAAAAAGAATTCAATCAGCGACCATGTATAATTGGATCCGATGTTCAAATTCCAAATTCGATTGTTCGTCATCGTCTGGGTACTCAACAAAGATCGATGAAAGCAAATATTGAAACATTACGCAATGTATTTGAATTACCTAAGGAATTATTGATGAATTTATCTATTGAACATGAACTGCCTAATACGATCGAAGAAGAAAACATAAGTTTTGAATGGAATGATGAAGATGATGATACTGTAATAAAACATAGAAAATCAATTGTTAGTACAATTATTAATAAACAACGTGAAAAACGACGTAAATATGAAGATTACAAATATAATTATGATAATAGTGAACCATTACCAATCGATGAAATCATTGAAGAAATTCAAACAAATATTGGTAAAGATTTAAAAACTGAAGATTTAAATTTAATTACAGAATTAATGCAAATAATCAGTCGTTATAAACAAGCTCAAATTATGAATATTTATGATGAATTATCTGATATTCATTTAATTAGTAAATTTGGTGGTGTTCCAAAGCTTGTACAAGTAAGAAAAATAGTTTTATTTAAATAAATAAATAAGATAAAATTTTCTATAGGCTCTACAAGAAATTCAAAGAGCATTTGAACAAGTAGCTATGAAAACAAATGTTGCTTCTATTGAAACTGTTATCGATGTTTTACTTGAAAAAGATCATACTTATCGTGTAGCAGTTGAATTATTAAATTCATTTAATGAAAATATGAAGAAACATAAACAACAACAAATGTTTAATTTAAACAATAAATCTGGTAAATAGAACGAAAATTTCTTTATCCACTAATAATTGAAGAATAGGTGATATAGCTGATCATGACCAAACTCTATTCGATATCTTAATCAAAGATCGTATTAGTCGATTACGTGAGTTAAATCTTTATTTCTTTTTCTTTCTTAAAATTAATCATTATTTCAGCTACATCGGATTTAACTATATTAATCAATGATCTTCAAACAATTCAAAATATTGATACAAGTCAAGTAAATAATAAAGATCATGATGATCAAGTTAAATTTTTATCTGAACAATTAAATACTATCTTCACACGTGCACATTTTGATGGAATTAAAACAACATTTCATTCAATGAAATCATCTGTTAGCGATGCCTTACAAGAATTTATTGATAAAACTGAAATTAGTTTAAAAACTAAATTAACAGAACATGATAATATTACTATTGAATCATATATTCAAGATCGTTTAACCTTATTAGTAAATAAAATATTTCTTTTTTTATTAAATAATCATATGTATTTTCTCTATTTAGAATAATAATGAATTAAAAAGAATCTATGAACGTTTAGCACAACAAGGTATTCTTAAACGTCATATAGGTTCTGGTGAATTAAATCAAACAATAACTATGGGTTTAATGAAAAAAATTAATACGGATGGATTAGGTATAGTAATTGAAAATATGAAAGAAGCACATTTAGATATTGATTCTATGAGTAAACTTTTACAAGAATTAATTTGTATTAATAACTATATTCAAACTCAATCATCTATTTCAATTGAACAAATTCAAAACCACTTAGGTTTTATTAAAACTATTTTTTTTATTTAATTATCATTTTTCTTTTAAGCTATGGCATATTTTATCGAAACAAGTAATCTTAGTGAACAAAATATCCAAGAATTAGCTAAATCAACTAAGTTATATTCTATTGTTGACATATCTCTTAGTGATAAAGCAACGAAAGATGAATATTCTATATTTCTTGAACAGTTGAAATCTCCATTTATACGTATATGTATACAACGAATTTTAAATTCAGTTAATGAAAATACGATTGATTTGAGTAAAGTATCGAACGAATTTTATAAACAATATATTAATGATTTACTTCATGAATTGATTTATGGCTCTGAAGAATTTAATAGAAATTTACTTTTTCATCAAGTTCAAGAGCAATTAAAGAAAAATAAAGATTTAGTCGATAAAATTTATAGACAAATGTTAAAAGAAAAATTAATTAATATTGATACGAAAATTAAAATAGATACAGATAAAAAGAAAGTATCCATAATTAGTAATGATATCAATAGAATTTTAAATAATAAAGAAGATCGAGCACAACAATCGAAGTTAATAGAATTATTCAATAAAATTGATGTGTAAGTTTGATATAAATTTAAAGAAAAGAATAACAGAACTATAAATAGACCTATTCCTGAACGTATTAAACATTGGTATAAAACCAAATCAAGTATGCCAGTAAAACAATTGCCATTATCGAATTTGAAAAAAGAAACACGTCGGCCAAATGCTAAGCTCACTAATACAATACCTAAAACTTTAAGAGAAGGAGTAACTCGAGATATCAAAGATCGTAGTGCCACTATTTCATCATCCAAGCATGGCAATGGACAGAAAAAACCATCAGTGAAACTTCAACAAAAACGCCCTGAAATGAATAAATCTTCAAAAATTCTTGATCCTGTATCTACTACTCACCCAACTATATCAACCACAACAACAGATGTAATTAATACTAACGTTGTCTCAAAATTGCAAGATGACTCCATTAAACCTATTGATACTGTCATACCAGAACGAGATAATCAACTATCGAATATAGTTCATACAACTAGTGAACACAAACAAGAATTTGAATCATCACCATATATATCGACAGAGATCCAGTCTGATATATTGGAACAATCAGATGAGAAAACTAATGAAATAGCTACTTCGACACGCATTGAAACGATTCGTTCAGAAAGTACTACTATCGGTATGTTTATCTTATTTTTGTATACAATACTATGATTGACAATTTTTGTATCTAGGTAAAGTGGGAGACAATAAAACAATTAATTTTGAACTAGAACATGATGCAGCTCTTCTTTTATATTCTCCACTCTTACCCAACGATCCAGAACAAGAAGTACACATGATTTTAAATGGTAAAATATCAGAATTTATAAGTGATTCACAATATGAAAAAACAAAAGCACAACGAGTCTTAGCTAAAGCAATACCTACAAATAGTATTCGTCAACAGATTGATAGAGATACAATTGTTACTAATTCTTCATTATCAAATCTTATAGTTAATAATGAAGAAATAATTTCTGTAAGTAATTATTTCGATTTAAATTTTTATATATTATATACAGGCTGTGTCTGATACTCGAAAATTATCAAATCCTTCGAATGTACCAGGTGATGAACTATTAATACCTATTACAACACCTTCATTAGAGAATATTAAATCAATGGCAAAAACATCTCATCGTACTACAAATAAATCATTAAAACAAACTGACGATATTTATATAAATTCTTTAACAAATGCTTTACATAATTTATTTTCTCGATCAGAATATGATAATAATAAACTACGAAAAATTCATGATGAACTCATTACTTCCGGTCATATTTCTCCATTAAATGAATTTTATCGTTCATCCAGCGAAGCATTACGTTTAACACTTGATCATTGTGTTACTTATAATGATTTAATTAAATGGACTTTATCATTATTACAAACACAAAATAAACCAAATTTAATTGATTTTGGTCATGATCTCTATTCAATTGCAATTGATTTAGATCTATCATTAATTGAGCGAATCGATAATACACAATGTGCATTTGACATACAAGAACATCTTAAACATGATTTACAAACTATTTCCGAAACTGATTTACGAGGTACCGAGCGAGAGAAAAAAAACTTGTTATAATATATATATTTTTAAGAAATAAATTCTTATTTAAATGCATCTCAAATGGAAAAATTAATTAATATAACAAAAAAACTTAATGTTACATCAAAAGATCGTATGATAGTAGATTTATATTCATATCTTCTTCATTTAATTCAAAATTGTCATACATTCAAACCAAAATATCGTCCAATGCAAATATATTTACGTGTAATTTTAATCATTTTATATATATCAGAGATGTCCATCGCGGTAGCGACAGATTCTCAGTCGCGATGGACATCTCTCATATAAATGTATATATTTAATTATTCTTTTTAGGAAATAGCTGAAACATTTAAATCTCGAGCTATGATCGATTTAATACGTAAAATCAATGAAATTGAAAAACATCTATCAAAAATGTATTCAATAACATTTTTTGGTCTTAGTAAACGTATGAATGAATCTCGATTTATATTAACAAAATGACAATGTATTAGTTTGTTTGGTTCTTGTTTAAAACAAAAATTTCGAATTTTTTTTTGTGTGTGTGTGTTCAATATAAAAAAAAAGAAAACAAAAGATAGTTCAATTATTTGTTTTATTGTCGTAATCGATCTAATCTGTTCACATCATTGAATATCGTTGGTAGTGCTGCATAATATTGTAGTAAATCATCTAATGATGCTCGACAAGTTTGATTTATCATTGATAATGCTGATTCAATACGTGGAAGTGTTGTTAATTCACCAAGAATATTATAACAAAATGTTATATATGAAAATGGTAATATTGAAGATTTATTTTCTTGTTGATGACGTTGTTCAGTTAAAACCATAGTTCGACATGCATTAATTATAATTTCAACTAACTTTGGTGTTGCTGTACTAGTTATTCCAAATAGACCTTTTGTTGGTAAACGAAGAATAAGAGAACATTGACCTTTAATATCATCAGATTTTAATGTATTTAATTGTTGTGTAAATTGATAAGGTGTATTTAAAGATAATGAAGTTTTTTTCATACGAAGTTGTTCAAGTTCTTCAAACGAAAGATTAATTTCTTCTAAAATAGTTGTTGGTTTCGTATTTTTCATATCAGTAGATTTTGATATAGATGTGGAATTATTAGTATTATTATTATTTGTTCGAAGTCGTCTCATTTCTCGAGGAATTGGTTCATGTCGAGATGTATAATATTCTGTAAGAATAGTTTGATTATTAGGCTGTAATTTAAGTAATTCTTTTAATGTTGATTCATATAATTGAGTATTATGCAACATTTTATATGCACATGCTTTACGATATAAAGCACGTGCATTGATTGGATCGATTTTAAGTGCTTGATCACAATCATCAATTGTTTTTTGTGGCTAAATGAAAAAAAATATGTCAGTTTTGAATTTTTTCACTTCAATAACATGGGAAACTACATATTTGAAATTATTCGTCTTATTTTATCTATCGGAATTTATGCATTCTTACTTCGAATACTTTTAAATAACAAGCAGCACGATTTGAATATAAAGTTGCAATAGTTGATTTAAGTTCAATGCAATATGTATAACATTGAATAGCAAGAATAAAACAAGCATCAATATAAAGTTGATTACCACGTTCTCGATACCATTCAAATTGATTTTTCGTCGAAGAATTATCTTTAATTTTGATATATGCTAAATAACGTTCATCATCATTAGTATCTTTAGGTAATTTTTCACGCCAATTTTCACCTTCAGCTACGTTCAATTCACTAGTTAATCTAAACATTCAATTAGAATTTTCAAGATTTTCGTTTTTTTCCTCATTTAATATTTACTTTTCACATGCACGTTGTGCTAAGGGATAACTATAATCATTAGCTGGTATACGTGCGTAATCTGCATAACTATAAAGTAGACTAGAACGAAAAAAAGAAAGATATACTAAATCATTAAGATTTAAAAATATATACAATTTTTCATTTTCAAATGCTTTAGCTCGACAAATTAAAGCATTTGCATCGGTTTTATTATATTGTAAAGCTTCCGTTGTATATTGAATAGTATGTACATAATCTTGAACTTTTGAATAACATTGAGCACAAATAATTAATGTACTAACAATATGATCAGCATGATTATGATAATCTAGAATATATATAATTGATATTGAATAGAATTTTTCGACAAGAAAAAAACAATATCTAACCAAGTACACCATTTTTTAACATTTTTTTTGATGCTTCAACCGCATTTTTAAAATCATTTAATCGATTGAATCGTTCAATATCACGTTGTAATTTATCAAGTGCCCAAGGTCGAGATGATTTTGACCATGTTTTTTCATGTAAAGTCGATGGACGATTATTTGATTGTAATATTACTAAATCTCGTAACCAATTTTGTATAGTTGGACAAAAATTTGAACTAGATATATGATCATTAGAAGAATTTATAGATGATAATGATTTCTCATTTGTTTCATATGAATTCGATGATATCTAATAGAAGAAAACTTATTTATCATTCATAACAAATCTAATAGTTTTATAGTTACTGAATTTTGTTTATTTAATGAATAATTATTAGATATTGTTGGTATACTACTTTTATTTGTTATAGGCATGAAATCTTGTCCATTATAAGTTTCATTCATAGTATATGTCATGTTTCGATCTGTTGTATTACTATTCGTTGTTGGTAATGAATTTTGATCAACTAATGCAGGTACTTCATCATTATTATTATCATCATCATCATCCATAGTAGGTGAAACATTTAAACTATGTGAAACATTCCCATCATCATCACTCATATTTCCTAAAATATCACCACCAGCTTCATCACCGAGTGCCATATCATCATCATCATCTTCAGTTTCATGATTTAGAGATGATAATTGAGAATGAACATTCTGTTGAAATTGATTTATATCATCACGATGATGAAAATGATGATCAAACAATGCAGGAGAAGCTTCTTGTGAATCAATACATGGACGAGCATGATTATATGATCTTCAAATACAAAAATGTTTTAAAAGAAAATTTATCTATATATATTTACTTTTGAGGAATGTCAATACTCATGGATTGAATCGATTCATTAGTAACTTGTGGGAGTTGTTCTTCATGTTCTTCGTCTTCTTCTTCAACTTCCAAGATTGGAATTTTAACTGACGTAGACTAGAAAATCTTTTTTATATGAAGAAGAATGAATCTAATTATGAAACTTACAGTTGGTGGTTGTGGGCGAATCTCTTCTTCATCATCACCATCGTCTTCAGTAATAGGTATACGAACACCTTTCGTCTTTTGAGCAGTTGGAATTGTTTTCAATAAACTCTAAATTAACGATTATAATTTATTTCTAGAACATCGTATTCTTACTTTTGCATCACTATTTTCGTGATCAATACTGAGCAGAAGATCTAAATCATGTTTAGCATCATTATATTGTTGCTTAGAAACAAAACATGATGCTCGACGAAATAATGCTAAATCATAGAAATCAAATAGATATTTATATAAATTCTTTTTTCGTATTAAATACAACCTTTGATATGATGTGGATCCTGAGATAATATTTTTGAACAATCTAACAATGATTCATCATAATGATTTAATTTAAAATCTAGAAAATATCATTATAATAAATATAGAAAAGAATATTTAGTAACTTACGTGCTAATGCTCGATTCATATAAACAACTAAATTCGTATTATCAAGCATAATACTCTTTGTATATAAATCAATCGATTGTTGATAATTATTAGATTTAAATGCAGTATTTCCATTAAGACGATGTTGCTCAGCCATATGAAGACGTTGACTTTTTTCATGAATTTGATCTGTAGGAGGAGGAGGACGAGATTCAGCTATTCATCAATAAAAGAAAAATGCATAATCATTTCTGACAATAGACAAATTTAAAAACATACTTGGCTTTTCATCATCATTATCATCTTCATTGTCACTATTCACTTCTTGAGAAAGTTTCTGATCTAATCTAAAAATGAAATTTTTGTTTTGAAAAAGATTGATACATAATGAGATATACGTACTTTCCCCATTCATCATAACTTCTCGGTACTATTCGTTTTTGTTTACCATTTTTATTTATCACAGATACTGATGAAGTTGGGATGGTAGTAGTAGAGTTAGTCTTTAAAAATCAATAAAATCAAATAAAACAAATCTTACATATAACTTACAGCTATAGATTTGGAACGGATTGGAGCTAAATTAATACCATTATTTTGATGATCTTTAGTAGTATTAGAAGATGTTTGTTTTGTTTCTTTCATTTGATTAAGAAAATCATCTAATTGTTGACGTTCTTCATCAGGTAAAAGCGTTTTATCAAGTGGAGCTTTATCAGTTCGAAGAATGTGACTGAAGAATAATATAATAATCGTTTTTAATATTTGGATAAAGAAAAGCACTACCTGTTCGGTTTTACATCTTGAATTCGTTCAAATGTTAATTTTTCTAAAGCTGGAAATGAACCTACTTCACCGCCTCTACAATTATTTATAGAATACATAGTTTTGCAAAAAAGAATGGAAAAAGAATTTCAATTTTTTACATTAATTCTTTGTAAATTTTTTCAAGTTCTTTTCCATTTGTGCAATCCTGTATATATTTATATTCAAAATGACTCAATGGTATATTATATTTTGCTGTATGACCTGCTAAAGCGGCTGCTGTATTATCCATCTAGAAAGATTATTAGACAAATTTTTATTTTTAATTTTAATTTTAATTTTTTTAATTTTTAGAAAAATTGAGATATTCTGTTCTTTATCTACATAATATTATTAAGATAGACGCAAAACAATGAATAATCGAAGATCCTTCTTTATTCTTCGAGTGTTTGTTATTATAAGTGCATAGATCCAAGAGAATAGATATATTAGTAATGCTTATCTCGTTCGTTCTCTGTCTGTTATACACGTCATATAGTATATTGTTTGTTGATTTCAAATATACAGTTAAGCGTACATGCAGGAAAAAGAAAAAGAGAAAAAAAAGAAAAAGATAGAAATATATTCGAGTGGTACGATTATCGGAAGAGATAAGATGATATTCAGGGTTTGTACGTGTGAATAAAACATATAAATACTAGACGCAACTGGTCTGTTTGCTTGTCAGTCGAGTTAGAAGTTCCCATAATACATTTACGAATAGATTAAAATTACATTACATCGAAATAAATGGCGTTTAGTCAATTAACAATATTTCTTTGTTTAACATTTATTTTAACTACATTAGCTCAACTACAAGCACCATTTAAACAATGTGGACGTATGTATAAAAAAACGATATAAATAATTAATTATTATTATTTTCTTTTTATTAAAATAGCATTAAGTGCTGGTCGTATTCTTAAAGTATCCGTAAATGCTCCATGTACAAAAGAATATTGTACATTTTATAAGGGTACTGATGCTCGTCTTGAATTTACATTTAATTTAAGTAAGAAAATTAATTTTTAGAAAATAATATA